TTTTGTAGATTATTTACTTTATTTATTATTATTTTCTTATCATAATACTAAAATTTGAAAAGCACAAAAGGACAAAATTAATCTAAACTTTTTTTGTGTAAATACCATAAATAATATTTAAATGCAATTATAAGTTTCATTGCGACGCAAGAATTAGGTGTTTTGTAAATAAGGAAACAATATATTTTGTTAATAATAAAACAAATTAAAAGAGAAGTTGATGAGCCGGGCTGGTTAATTATAGGCACTTGTGTGTAATAATTATAAATCTTTATACACAAAAATTTAAACATTGTCAAGAGTTTCAACAAAACATTTTTTTATTTACAGAACAATGTAAGCACGCAATTTCTGCATCGCAGTGAAACATCTTGAATATTTAAAGTAGTTATACAAAAAAGTTAAGATTTTGTAATTATCTTATAATATACATTTCCATACGTCTTCATTAGAGCATAGATAAAAAAAATTCTGTTTCTTAATAAAATTATTTTTTATATAAAATTATTTTTTATACACCTTCTAAACCATCAATATTTCTTATTTTTTATATCGTTATATTTCGTTCTTTATATACCCAGCAAACGAGAATGGATTGAAATGGATTCAGATTTTCTGAAATATTGATTCACAAATGTGAAAATGAATGCTTTTCAATCCTGAATGCAGTTTTATTCATTTATAGGAATTACATGGAGCATATCTCTATGTCTTTCAATCTAAAAATAATATTAGCTTTTTCTGTGCATTGTGATTACTGTTTAAAATTTTGAATAGGAAATGCAGGAGGAAATGATTTTTCAATCCAATTGCATCCAATTGAATTTAATTGAATCCAATTGAATTCAATTAAATAAAAAATATTATTTAAAATACGCATTCGGATAGAAAAAAATTTCAATCCATTTTAATCCATTCTCGTTTACTGAGAATCTTAAGATATCATGAATCAAATAGAAGGCCGCATTAGCGACTTAAGACATTATTTAAAATCGATTTTATATTAGTTGCAAGCTGATCGCAAATTTGTTGCGACAGCCAATCTGAAGCTTGGATTTTGAAATCAACGTTTCATATAATTGTAGCAACAAATGCAATTGTTCAATCAGCTTGCAACTAATATAGAACTAATATAGAACCGGCCTAAGACGATTAAAATAACAATTGACTGAATTGAATATCGGCTTATGAAAGAGGGGCAAAATTGCATCAAGTGAATCACAGCGTTCAATCAGGGCGGGGATCACATGATTAATTTTCTTCAATCTCTTCCATGCCTATAGAGCTTTGATGACCCAATCAGAGGAACACAGGAGATAGGTCACGTGAGGTCTTCTTATTCCAACTCAAGTAATGGCAACTTTAATTCTCGGTCAAAAATTATTACTCTCCGAAAAAAATTAATGTATTAAATGAAAAATTAAAACCTAGATGCTGTAATCTTACTGATCAAGTTAAATTCCATCAAATTAAAAAGTAAGAGAATTAAATAACCACTATTTTTTTGTAAAAATATCGATTATATTTCTTTAAAACATACTTTTTATCAAGCTGCAGACGGTTGAATGAACGTAACTTTAAAGATCGAAATAACAATTTGATCTTTGTTAAGATACGGAATCATACACATCAAAATTTTTTGAAGAACAATCAAAAACATGTTACAGTACAAGTTTCAAGCTTTAAAACATTCTTTTATTTTTACGGTGACTTTTCACCGAATTTTGATGATCTGATAGTTGTACAATTCTGAACGTTTCGAAAGTGTTCTCTGTTGAATATTTTACATTACATATTACTTTTGTAACATCGAAGCTACATTATGTCTGCAATAATATACACTGACCTACAAACACAAACATTGTTAAAATATATTAATATATAAAATATATATTAATATGGAAGTATGGTTCAGCAAAATAATACTTTACAATCTGACAGATCCGATATGAAATGTTTTCTTTTTGGTTCATTATAGATAGGGTAAATATGCCGCACTAGGATTTACGTCGCAGAAAAAAATGTGGGAGTAATTTTTCCACAACTACTCTATTACCTCGCCTATGCCTTTATGTTATATTAATATTGTGTTATGGTTTCTTCTTATCAATATTAATGAAATTATGATGAATTGAATTCGTCAATTTAATAAATAGCGTCATCATAAATTATAATCTACATAAGTAGAATAAGTAAGAGGATTCTGGATCACTGTGTTAGTGCATATATGTGATATGTATATGTGTGTGTGAGGGGTCAGGGAGGGGGAAGTGCACACACAGATGAAGTCTCGTGGCGTGGGGGGGATGACGTCACAGGGAGGGGAAGGAAAAAGCGCGTCACTGGGGGAAAGGGATTTGTTCCTTCTCTCTCTCTCTCTCTCACCAACCTATTATCTTCTCTCCCGTTGTAGAATGTATTTCTCTCTGTCCCACTCGTTGCGGGCCTATTATTCACGCTCTCTCTTTCTCCCGTTGCGCTCTCTTTTTCTTTTAAGATTTAATTAAAAAAATTTTTAAGATTTATTAGATATGATATTTATGAAATATGATACTTAGCAATTATAATAATTTTATAAATTATAATACATTTTATATAATACAATTTTATAAATATAATTAAAAAAGGGTCAAGCGCGCTTTCTTAGCTTCTACTAGCTTGGAGTTGAGAAAAAAGATAAGAAGAAATGGTAAGAACGAATCGTTTTGAAGACTGAGTAATATGTTTAATACATTTATTTTTCACGCTATAACGCAGCGTATACAATATTATCTAACGCGTAAGCCATTAGTTCACATTCTACAATAGAATTTTTATCATAAATTTTGTGCAAAGTATTTGCAATCGCATTGATTAGTAATACAATTTTTACGTAAAATAGTCACAAAATATTTAAATTTCTCACTAACACCGTGAGTGTACTGACACAGTTCAAAGTATACATGTTCGACACAATGTTCGAATTCAAACATGAAAAAAACAGTTTTTGGCTTCATGTGCAAGCAGGTACCATGCAATGATATTTTTACATTATATTCATTATCAATTTTAACAAGTTCCACACTTAAATCTTGAATCATTAGAGAGAAGGAAAAAGTTGACTGCAACGTTGACTTTATCGCTCAACATTTGCACGTTCATATCTCGATGAACGCCTTCCATGTCCATGTAAGGCAAGATTATGCGATTGCCTCGACAATCACAATTTTTACATAGGACATAAATCCCACGCTGATTTCAATGTTCCAGATATTTATAAGCTGTAGGTGTCAATGCGAATCTCCTTCTCAAAATATAAGATGTATGACAAGATGTCGAAGATGTATAAGAAGATGTGCTGTTAAAGAAAGGAGAATACAAATAAGTAGAAAAAATATATAACATATACCAAAAGCGTATAAACAAAATTTTATATAATTGAACACAAACTTACTGTCCCTCTCCTTTGAGATCGAATAAAAAGAGACGAATAGTAAAGAGAGAAAGAGAGATGCGGTGATATTAGCTGGGCTCTTCATTTAAACAGTGTTCCATTCCATTTTTTACATATTCCAAAATAGAAAGGATTTTTTTCATTTTCAATCCGAACTATGCAGTGACATGTCATAAGAATGCACTTTGATCATATCGAACTTTTTCAGTTACACTCAATAGACTGCAGTAAAATGAATGATTGCGCCATCCGACTGCCTAGGGAGGACGATAAGAGGCTCAAAATGATATTTCGACAGCGAATCGTCATACGAACAATGTAGTACCCGATGCTGAATACCTTGTGTTGCTGATACGTATGCGTAGATTTATTCAGGTCTCTCTCCATCTTTTCCAATGCGCACTCCAAGTTGGAGTTCCATGCGCATCAAGTCGATGTAGATCATGAACAGGACATTCCTCTTTCCTACAGTGGTTGTTGAAACTCAGCCACTTATCGTTCTCGCTAAGCAATCGGAGAATGCCGCAGTCATTCATTTTACCGCAGTCTATTGAGTGTGACTGTAATTTTTCATTTGTATTGAAGTAATGTAGACATCTGAAAAGATCATACAAAATTATTATTATATTTACTACTGTTTTTTTTAATATTATTTTATCGATTTTTTTTTCTTATTATACTTATCAATCGCAGAAATATTTCTTATTCTTGAATCTAATATTTTGCGATCTCACGACAGATCTTTAATCAACGCAAAAATGCCCCGCGTTATCGTCTTGTGGATCCTGCATGTACAACAAATGCTTGTCCCTCTTTCGGCTGATGAATAATGGAAGAATTCTTTCTGTTCCTCGATACTATACACGTTGATGGAGATATTATTCTGATTTCCGAATTTTATTATTTGGTTCAGCATCAAACTGAATGCCTTGGAGATTTAGTATGGTATTATACTGCTGATATAAGAATTCCCGATTTGTGTTTCTAGCCGCATATAGAGCGGCAACCACTGACCACGTGAAGCACACATCGTCCATGGATTGCACGTTGATTATTGCTTTCTTAATCTCTAGCGGTAATTCAATGTGACAACCCGCGTG